GCTGAGGCAGCAATTGAGACTGGGCATGGTGGTGGGCACTTGTAATCCCAGCTCTTGGGAGGCTGTAAACAGGCGGATCACTACCAGTCTGATCTAGCAGTGAGACCTTGAACACCCTGTAGACCATGCCCTAAAAAAAAAAAAAAAAAAAAAAAAAAAAAAGACAGATCAAAAGATGTGGCTACATCACAAAAGTTGACACAGAACAACAATCATACCTGGAAAGGTGCTTTTTTTTTTTTTTTGGCAGAACTGGGGATTGAACTCAGGCCCTTGCACTTCCCAGGGAAGCGCTTATTCCACTGAGCCATGTCCCCAGCCCCTTGAAAAGGTGCTTTGCAACATTCGGCAGGCAGGTACAAGTTAAAACAAGAGGGAAGAACAGGGTCAACCTAATATAATGTGTTGGACACAGCTGGAAGTGCCAGTGGTGTCACACTGCAGCAGGAGGGCGAGAGACGGTGTGAACATTAGAGGCCGCTGTGGCAGCTTCTTACAATGTTAAAACACACTACAACACTATTTACATAATCCCAGAACTCCTGCTGAAATCCTAACACAAACATGACAGTATGAAGAGATGAGGCCTTTGAGAGGTGATCAGACCACAAGGCCTAAGACTTGAGGAATGGGATTTATGCCCCTGTATGAGGAAAACGTCTCTAGACCCCTTCTGCCATGTGAGTTTACAGCGGGCAGACATGCATCTACACAGGAAGGGGGCCCTTATCACCCAATCTGCTTGTACTTTGGATCTCCCAGCATCCACCACTGTGAGAAATAAATTCCTGTCCTTTATAAGCCACCCAGTTTATGGTATTTGGTTAGTCTCCTAATTGAACCAAGTTCCTTATAACCCAGCAATAAATGTACTTGTCTAAGAGAAATGAAAATATGTGCAAATACATACATAAATGCTCACAGTTTTATTCCTTTTTGTTTTTGGTAATGCTGGGGATTAAACCCAGGAAGCACTGAAGTACACCTGCAGTCCTTATAAAATAGGGTTTTACTAAGTTCTCCAGGATGGTCTTTTTTATTTTATTTTATTTTTTTAAATTTATTTATTTGTGGGGGGGGACAGCTCAGCCCACCAGGGGGCGCGCTGGCTGGCATGTGGTGCTGGGGGATTGAACCGAGGTCCCTGTGCTTTGCTAAGCTTGTTCTAAGTAGGTGCTTTAGACCACTGAGCCATCTCACCAGCCCCTTATTTTATTTTTTTATTCTTTCAATACAGGGTGTTGCTACACAGTTCAGACTCATAGAGATCCTCCTGTCTCAGCCTCCCAGTGCTGGAGTTACAGGCATGTTCCACCACGCTGTTTCAGGGCTGGCATGGCATACCTGAGGTTCCAGGCCAGCAGAGCACATCATACCCAGAATCAAACTCTACACCTCGAGTTTGCCAGATAAACGCTTACGCCACTGAGATATCTCCCCAGCCTCTCTAGGGTAGTCTTGAACTTGAAGTTCTCCTGCCTCAGCCTCCCAAGCAGATGAGGAACAAGCACATGTGACCACACTTGGCCAGCAAATATTTTTCTCTTTTGCAATAGTAAGGATCAAGTCCCGGGCCTCATGCATGCCAGGCAAGGGCCCTAGCACTCAGCTACAAACCCCAGCAAATTTAATTCAAGTCAAAACTGGAAACCTGTATTTCCATAAACAGATTAATGAGTAACAAATGATGATTTCTCTACACAATGGGATATTAGTCAGCAACAAGACACAAAATGTGGTTGAACCTAAAACTACACTGAAGGGTCAGAAGTCAGACACTAATGAGTACATACACATCCACGTGTGTGCGGTTCTAGGACAAACGCTAATATAAACTGACATAACTGGTTACTGGGGTGGGGGGGGCTGATGGGAAAGGGAAAGAAAACTTTTGGGTGGAAATTTATCCTGATTATTGATGGTGGATACTCAGATATAGGTATTTCCCAAAGCTCTGCACACTTAAAAGTATGCATTCTTTTGAACTGATTAAAATGGTCTCACATCATCTATGTCTCCATCATATGAAGCATCTCTAGTGAGTTTTTCAAAGTAGATATTGTATGTCTTTTTGAACTCTGTTCTCTCAACAGTGGTTGGGATTTGCTATGGACTCAAAATATGCCTTTATGGGCCAAAGGAAAAAAAAATTGTTTTATTTTTAAAATCATCTCCAAGCTGGCTGACATGCAGATGATGACAAATCAAAGGCCAAGGTGAGTTTTGCTGAAAGGACTTTGCTATGTGCCAACGCTACCTGCTTTCTGGCCCAACCACGCAGCAGCCTGCTGAGCCTGCCTTTGTCTCGGAGCTCCCTGTCCCAGGTCATCCCTCTTCCTCCAGTGGACACGCACCCACTGGCCTCTGGGCCAGCTCAAATGTCACCTCTTCTGTGAAGTCTTCCCACCTCTGTCATGCCACTCACTAGTCACCTCCTGATGCTCCTACGAGCCCTGGAGCGCACCTCCCCCATCTCGGCACCTCTCTCTCCCCATAACACCACGTCTTTCCCACTGTATTCCCCACTACTGCCATGCAGATGGCCTCTTTACTCTTGCCCTCCCCATACCCAGGACTATTCCTTATAGATGTCAACTCAGTACATTTTCAAATGAGCGATAATGTGGACCAGAGGACAAGAAACTGCTAAGAGTAGAGTCAATCTTGGAGCTATTATGGTTTAGATCTAAAATGTCTTCCCAAACTCTCATGTGCTCAGCGGCGGGGCTTTTGGAAGGTGACTGGTATGTGGGAGGACCATACTCTTCAGGATATCCATCCACTAAGTGTAGCAGTTCAGGGTGGTGTTATGAATTGGGGCCCAGTTAAAGGCAGGCCAATGGGGACGTAACCTGGAAAGGTGTTAGTTCCCTCTCTGGCTCTCCTTTTGCTCTCTGCCTTCTGGGCTCTATGACATAAGCAACTTTTCTCTGCTAAGCCCTTCTACTATGCCATTTCTTCCTTGGGCTGAAACTTTTGAAACTGTAAGCCAAACTAAGCCTCTCTATCTTTAAGTGATGATGTCTGTCAGATATGATGTGTCACTGACAAGAAAAATGATGAAGACACAATGACACCCTCCTGAAAGACATGATGAACTAGAACAGTTGTGCGGTGTACCCCTCAAGTACCTGGGGGCAATGAGGGCAGTAGGCAGTTCCAGGTGAGGCTACAGGTGACAATGGGAGGGGGCCAAAAAAGACAGGTAACTCTGCAACTCTAAGGCAGGAGCAGAAGGCATTATGGGGTACAGGAGAGAAGGTATGTCCAGCAGACTAGATCATACCAACACAAAAATCCCTCTTAATTTTAAAACAGCAATACAGAAAGGACAAAGCAAGAGCTGCCAACTACACAGACATGGCGATGTTTTTCATGGCCACACACTGAACAGTGGGGATGTATAAATCAACCAGGACATGATCACTATCAAGGAAATGACTGTAAAGACAAATAACTCATAACTCAGTAATAAGAGATAAGCACTGAGCCTCAAAAGGATGGAAATCTTGCTGGCTAAGTGCAAGGGAAATGTTCCTTGACATGGTATCAGAGCCTTGCAAGATGAGCCAGTCAGCAGAGCAGTGTGGTTAGTGAGAAGAGGGACACACCAACTGTGTGGCCAGGAACTCAACAGTCAAGGATATAAAAGCTTCAGGACACAGGACATGGGGGTTTGGGGGTCATCCGCAGCACAACAGAGAATACACTAGGGGTTTTACATGAGAAAAATCTTCTCTGGCCTGACAGACAACCCTCTCTTAAGTAATAAGACTAAATTCATAGCTCTGCTCTGAAAGGATTGAACTCAAGAGTGGGTTGTGTTTGTGAATACAATCTAGAAACCTTTTCTTCCCCCAACCTGTTCCAGTTCAAAGCCAGCCATCCAGTGGCAGGCACCAGGCCACTCCAAACACAGCTCCTCCATGATTCAGGAAACTGACACATCATTCAAAGCTTGCAAACCTTAGTAAAAACCCTAATTCCACCCACCACCAACCACTACTCTGAGTTAGTGATCATACGTTAGCCATATGACCCTACTGCCCTGTGGATCTCTCATCTAAACATGTAGAAGCCTCACTTAGGGTAAGGCCCTCCTGGTGGATAAAGTCAGGGGGTGGTGTACAATCCTCTCCAAGCTGACTACACTCGTACAGCTTCTCTTCAGTATGCATCTTCTGATGTTGGAGGAAGTTGGACCTCTGGATGAAGCCTTTCCCACAGAAACTGCACACATAGGGCTTCTCTCCGGTGTGCACAATCTGGTGGAGCAGCAGTTTAGAGCTCTGGATGAAGGCTTTCCCACAGTCTTTGCACTCAAATGGTCGGTCCCCAGTGTGGATCTTCTGATGCTCTGTGAGGTGGGCTTTCTGCAGAAAAGCCTTCCCACATTCTTTACATTCATATACCCGCTCACCAGTGTGGATTTTCTGGTGCCGGATAAGATACGAGCTCAGGAAGAAGGCCTTTCCACATTCATCACACTCATAGAGTTTCTCCCCAGTGTGGATTCTCTGATGCTGAGTGAAGTTGGATGTTTGGCTGAAGCGCTTCCCACACTCATTGCAAACATAGGGCCGCTCTCCAGTGTGAATTCTCTGATGCTGAATAAGTTTTGAACTGCGAATAAAGGCCTTCCCACACTCGTTACACTCAAAAGGCCTCTCCCCAGTATGAATCCTCTGGTGCTCAACAAGGTCTGAACGGTGGCGGAAGGCCTTCCCACAGTCCTTGCATTCATACTGCTTTACTTCTGTGTGGATTTGGTAATGCCGAATAAGGCTGGAGCTCCTGATAAAGGATTTTCCACACTCGTTACATTCATAAGGTCTTTCGCCTGTGTGAATTCTCTGATGGCGAATGAGTAAGGAGCTCTGACTGAAGCCTTTCCCACACTCTTTGCACTCAAAAGGCCTTTCTCTAGTGTGAACTCTCTGGTGCCGAAGGAGGTCTGAGCTGTGACAAAATGCTTTCCCACACTGAGCACATCGAAATGGCTTTTCTCCCAGATGAACTTGCTGGTGCTCAGCAAGGTCTGTGTAGTGAATGAAGTCCTTCCCACACACACTGCACACATATAATCTGTCTTCAGCGTGGGCTCTCTGGTGCTCTGCCAGGTGTGAGGTCTGACTGAAGTCTTTCCCGCAATGCTCACATTTATAAGGCTTCTCCCCAGAATGAGAAATCTGATGTTTAACTAGGTCTGAGTTAAATGGGAAACTTTTACCACAAATACCACAAGGATGGGACTCCCCTTCCACAAGCTCTCTTTGAAGTATAAGAAGGTTCGGGTTCAGAATAGTATTTCTCCCTGGCTTACCACACACCTGGGCTGTCTCTCCCGTTTGGATTTTCCAGTGGGTCACTGTGACTTGTTTAAACGCATCCTCCTGAGACTGGGGGCTCCCTGGGCTCTGCTCTTCTGGGTTTCCCAACAGCTGCCCTAATCTGGCTTCACAGACTTCCCTAGACTCAGAAGTAGGATGCTCCATTACTGTGAGTCTGTCTGACGTCGTCTCACGGGAATTTTCATCCTCAGAAATTCAAGCTTTGAAGTCACCTTCTCATCACCATCTCATTCTGCAGCAGCATCTGAAACGAGAAAATAATTGTTTTCCCCTTTGTTAACAAGAAGCTACTGGGCTGGAGAGATGGCTCAGTGGTCTAGAGCACCTACTTGAAACAAGCTTGGCAAAGCACAGGGACCTCGGTTCGATCCTCCAGCACCACATGCCAGCCAGCCCCGCCCCCTGGTGGGCTGAGCTGGCCACATACACACACACAATAAATAAATGTAATAAAATAAAAATAAAATAAATTAAAAAAAAAAAAAAAAACAAGAAGCTACTGACACACATAGAGGACTAAACCGTTTCCTCTGCCCACACTCCTGACCTGCTGCTACATCAAACAGCTTTCTTCACTTGGGAAATCTCTTTATGGTTCTATCTTTGACATGCTGTAGGGCCAGCCAGCTAGCTCAGAAGATGAAAGCGCCTGCTTCGGCAGATGCAGGGGCCAGGGGTTTGATCCCTGGCCTGTGCTGTGAGCCCTGCCCCTACGGTGCGCTGAGACTGCAACTGAGACCAGGGGTGGTGGCGCACACGTATAATCCCAGCCCTTAGGAGGCTGAAAAACAGGAGAATCACTACAAGTCCCATCTGCGCAGTGAGACCCTGTACTAAATATATTAAAGAAAAAAATTAAAAATTAGACATGCTCAACTCTAGAATTGTAATACACAGCATTCTGCTGCTCCTCTGTGCCTCCCGAATATGAGGCAATGTGTCATGGATATAACTTGGACTTGGACTCTACTCAAAAATCAAGATCCATAATTCTAAATGAACATTGAAACGTATCAAGGTCTGATCACTTTCTCTTATTTCTTCATATCTTTTTTTTAAAAAACAGGATCTTACTATGTACCCCAGGTTGGCCTGCAACGATTCACGATCTTCCTGCCTCAGCTTCCTGAGCGCTGGAATTACAGGCATACGCCACCATACCACGCCCAGTCCTTCATACCTTCCCTTCTGTCCCCACCTATTGTGGTCCATGGTACTGAATTTACTTGAGACTACATGTTACATACGGCCATAGCGCTGACAAAGTTGCAGCTCACCCAAGACTCAAATGCATTTAGAATCTCCGGACTTGCAGTCTAGTCCTGCAGCCTTTCCAGTGATTTTGTCATCTAGTTCCCTGGATCAAAGCCACTGCTGCTTCTTACAAGAGCTACGGTGGTCTCTGCTTCCTGCCCAGAACTCCTTGGCACAGCTCTTACCACCCAGCATTCAACCCCACACACCTCAGTTCTACATCTGTGCTTCAAACAACTATATCAAAAACATTTCAAGAAAAATATTGTCTGCACTGAACATGTACAGACTTCTTCCTGTTATTATTGCCTAAAATTAATAGGAACGACAACACTGTGTGACTATTTATATAGCATTTACACTGTGTAGGTATGGCAAGTCACCTAGAAATGATTTATAGCACACGGAGGCTATGCATAGATTACATGCAAATACTGCACCATTTCACACGACTTGTGGCTCCCAGATTTTGGTATCTGTGAAACTGAGAGACTCCTGTACAATCATCCTTTTCATATACTCCCAACTCCCTGTACTGTCTCCCTCTGCAGTGCATGTGGGACCCGGCTCTGGTTAGATTTGGCTTGCGTCCTGACTTGTCTGCATGCTTGCTGACTGGAGTATTCTACATTTACAGTTCAATCTGATGGCTCTAAAAGCTACAGCCCCTAACTCTCCTGCTTTGCCTCACTTTTTAAATGTGTTAATGTCCCCTCCTGCCCCTCAGCTGATGACCTCACTTCAAGTTTCAAGGAGAAAATAGAAATGGTGAGGCAGAAACGTCTGCTTCCCCTACATACCTACGTCTGTAACCATGTGCTCCCCCTCCTGTTGAGTTAAATCATCTGTGTGCTCTAGACCCCTCCCCTCCCAGTTCCTCCTGCTCCCATTCACACTCTATGACATTATGAGCTCCATTTTCTCTCTAAGGTGCACCACACACAGCAAGGCTAGCACTTCCCCCACCTGAAATTCTAACTCTGCAGCATGCCTGCAGTCCCAGCTACTAGGAAGGGAGACTGGAGTGGGAGGATCATTTGAGCTTATGAGTTCAAGGCCAGTCTGGATAATACAGTGAGATCCTGCCTCAAAAGGAAATATAGGGGCCGGGAAGATGGCTCAGTAGAATAAGCACTTCCCTGGCAAGCGCAAGGGTCTGAGTTCAATACCTGGTTCCACCAAATAAATAAATAAATAAATAAATAAATAAATAAATAAAATAAAAGGAAACAGGGATGGGGGTGTGGCTCGGTAGTAGAATGCGTGCTTCACTTGCCCAAGGTTCTGGACCTGATCCCAAGTACCACAAAAAACAGAATGTTTTGAAAATGTTTAAACAAAATCCCTCACTTCTTTTTTTTCCCCCCACTCACTTCTTAGACCCTATTTCCTCCAAGGACTAGCTCATCACTCTTCTTCTTTACAGCAACCCTCGCAGGGCCACGGGACTTGTTTCTCCATCTCTTTTACATCTCTAAATCTACTCCAATCAGACTTACACCCCGACAGTCCATCATGTCACCCAGCTGGGCCACCCACAGCATCCCACCCACCAACTAAACTACTGGCAGAAGCTTATAGCCAGTAACTGCTCTGCTTCTGAGTCACCGTGTCACAGTGTTTCTGGGACAGCCTCTCCTGGCTCTGTCCCTTCTTCACTGACTACTCCCTCAGGGTACCCACTGATGACACCAGAGCCCTACCGAGCTCCATTTTCTATCCCTTTCACTCTGGAGGTGAGCACACCCACTTTAGGAGACAGACTCCACTGCTGAAATATGCACTTTGCTTGTTGCCTCTCTCCTTAACTTTTTTTTGTGTTTATCTTTATGTTATTCTTTATTTTTTATTTTATTGAAAAATAGCAATGAGACAGTTTCAAAACCAATTAGTAGGACAGTTTCAATAATTACTACACACACCTATAATATTCAAATAACGGAACTTGGGGCTGGTGAGATGGCTCAGTGGTCTAAAGCACCTACTTAGAACAAGTTTAGCAAAGCACAGGGACCGTGGTTCAATCCCCCAGCACCACATGCCAGCCAGCCCTGCCCCCTGGTGGGCTGAGCTGGCCACACACACACACACATAAATTAAAAAATAATAATAATAAGGGAACTTAACAAAAAAGGGGATACAGATGAATGTCCATTTTGTATCTGTGTATTCAAAGTGGTTAGGATAGATATATAGTTACACTCTCTTAATGAATAGAGAGATTTGTTTTAATAGTGTTTGTAAATAGGATATCATGTCTGCATCTTGTACAGCAATTAACCACTAGGAAGAATGTATGCAATGTGTTAATTATTGAAACTGTCCTACCAATTTGATTTGAAACTGTCTCATTGCTATTTGTTTATCAATAAAATTATGGGAAAAGAATAATTAGTACATTGCATATTGTTGTCTTTGTAGTAGTTATTCATAGTACAAGATGCAGACATGATATTCTGTCCAAACACTATTAGTACAAATCTTTCTTCTCACTGAATTAAGAGAAAGTAGCTGTATATCTATCCTAACTATTTTGTATATACAGGTCTTTCATTTGTATCACCTTTTTTTGTTTAGTTGTGTCAGAGATGGGTATTCCATTGTCATTTAAATATTGTAGGTGTATGAATTCAGCAAAATCATCCAATGTAGTCCAGTAGTCCATAATAGTAGTGGGTTATCCACAGGACTAGCAATGTCAGAAGTTGTTGACTTGAGCCTTTTACAGCTCAACATATTAATATGGCTTTACTTTTTATACCTTGTTTTTTATACTTTTCTGCTGGATGGTTAAGACCAAGATAAAGTAAGACCTATATAACAAGAAATGTAACTTTTGTATCTGACAAGGTCAGTCAAATCCCCTCAGGATTTACCCTGAAGCCCTGTACCGCAGTTTGTAGATCCTTTGTCAAAGTGTCAGCCATGTGGATTTAACTTTTTTTTTGACAGAATTTTTTTTCCTTGCCAAGTGTTAGGACACTTTTACGGGACATTTCGCTTAGAGATTGGCTGGAATTAGTATTTTGAAAGTAATTTTACATGCTATTCTTCTAAATTTAAAAAAGGAACCAGCCATGGTTGCATATGCCTGTAACCCCAGCACTTAGGTGGCTGAGGCAGGAGGATCACCTCAAGTTTGAGGCCAGCTTGGGCCACATAGTGAGTTCAAGGTCAGTCTTAACTATGAACTACATTTACAAAGTGAGAATCTGTTTCAAAAGAACAAATAATAAAAAGGGGGGATGAGAGTAAGGTGGAGGTACAGTCTCTTACTTTGGAAGAGACTTACTTACATACCTAACTGTTATGGTTTGCGTCTAGGTGACCCCCCCCCCCAAAGCCTCCTACAGTCATGGGGCAGCGACATCTCTAGAATTTGTGACTAACTCATGATCCCACTTGGATGATGGGTATGAGTGCTACACCCAGCCTGGGGTGGACAGCCTGAATGCAGCTTAAGGGAGACAGATATGCTCTCTGCTCTTTGCTGCCACCATTAAAGGTTGCCCTCTGCCATGTGCCAGGCTGCCTTGGAGCCAGCTGAGTATGGACTACCAACCTCCAGTAACTGTGAACTAAATAAGCCTTTCCTTCCTTCATTTTTGGTGTCGGGTATTTGTTCCATCAATGAGAGAAGAGTAACTGAGACAGAATTTGGTACCAGAGAAGTGGGGGTGTTGCTGTGGCTCAACCTGACCATGTGGATTGCAAGCTTTTGGGAATGGCTTATGGGAAGAGATAAGAAAGGTTTGGAGAGGTCACCTACAAACGAAGTGCTGGAACAGCTTCGGTTACTCTGTATGGGAGATTCTGGTCTCAGAATCTCAGAAGACCAGAAGACTGATAGAAGCCTGACTACAAAGACCAGGCTGGGGAGGTTTCTGCTGGCAAGGACCGGTTGTTAGACTCCAGATGATTTGTGTTACAGCTTG